TCCCCCCTCCCCTCCCTACAGAGTCTGGCTATGCAGCTTGGACTTGGCCTCCCCAGTGCTGGCATTATAGGCATGAGCCACCATGTCCCATTTGGGTGGCCGGCACAGCACGCCTGGGGTTCCAGGGCCAGGACAATATAAGGTTCCAGGATCAAACCCAGGTCCTTGTGCTTGCTAGCCAGGCGCTTAGACTGCCAAGGTAGCTCCCTGGCCCATTAGTCTCATTTCTATTTCTATGCCATTAATTTTGTTCAGAAATCTGCTCTTTTATAGTCTAAAATTTTCCCACGTTCTGGATTCATTAATGATTGACTAAGTGCCTCCTTGTGATGTCAGTATCTTTCCTTTTGTTCTGTAGCTTTTTTTGTTTTTTGTCTTTGAGACAGTGTCTTACTGTGCAGGTCAGGCAGGCCTTCAACTCATTTTGTAGCCCAGGGTGGCCTCGAACTCACTGGAATGCTCCTGCTTCAGCCTTCCAAGTGCTGGGATTATAGGCGTGCACCATTGTGTCCAACTTGTTTTCTGTAATTTATAGAGAAAAAGGTTCAACTAGCACTGTGTGTGTGTGTGTACGCGCGCGCAAACCCAGGGTCCTGAACATGATGAAGTGTGTGCTCTACCCTGAGCCGCCACAGCCCCAGAGGCCCTTTGTGACATGCAGGAGCGCCGCCTCACCTGCGCTAGTGCCTTGTTGCCCTGGCAGTGCCAGTGCAGTATGTCACCGAAGGCTGTTCGGTGCCCCGCAGTGTTACCTCAGGGCCCCTCCTTCCTGTTGATGTTGGCCCTTCATCTTCATGCGCTTGGTCTTCCAGGAATGTTTGGGGTTCTTGAGCAAGTTGGCATTGCAGTTTTGGGCTGGTGTGCAGCTTAGTCGTAGAGCATTAACTAGCATGTGTGGAGCTCTAGTTCCCTCCCAGCACTGCAGAAATAAATAAAATAAAGTTTCACCTTGAAATAATACTGTTTGGATTTAAAACCCACCTATACCAGGTATGAGTGACTCCTGACCAGTCTTTGTAACATGCTTGTCTCTGTAGGAAACAAATGAGCAGGACCTGTCTCCTGGGCTCTCACGAGAGTTAAAAAGTGAATGAGTTCATGGTATCGAATAGTCTTGGCACAGGGTTGTAACAGCTGTTGGTGGTTTGGCTAAGGAGCCAGGAGGGAAGATAGGGGAGGGAGCAGGGGCCCTTGGGCTGCAGGGCTTACACACATGCAGCATGGGGAGGGGCTTCCACAATGATCCTGGCAACCAGTGTCCTTGCCCTGCCCCCTCTCCCAGGTTGTGTGTGAGCGTGGAGGATGCCCACATGCAGACCGTCACCATCTGGCTCACGGTGCGCCCTGACATGACGGTGGCCTCTCTCAAGGACATGGTGAGTGAGGGCTGGGCCTTGGGGAGGCTTCTATGGGCCCTCGCTGCCCACCCTCATCTGTCTACTCCAGGTCTTCTTGGACTATGGCTTCCCCCCCAGCCTGCAGCAGTGGGTGATTGGGCAGCGACTGGCCCGAGACCAGGAGACACTGCACTCCCATGGGGTGCGACGGAATGGGGACAGTGCCTACCTGTACCTGCTGTCAGCCTGCAACACCTCGCTCAACCCGCGGGAGGTGCAGCGCCAGCGCCAGCTGCGGATGCTGGAAGGTGAGGCCTCACCATAGCTCTTGGTCAGGACCCAGAGAGCTCTCCTGGGGTGAGAGGTCCCTAGATGGAAGGAAGGAGCATCTCAGGGATCTGTTTGGAGGACAACTGGCCAGGGTTGTGGCCCCACTTCAGTCCTTGCTCTGGTGGTTTCCAGCAGGGGAGGCTTTGGGCAAGTTCATTCCTGGCCTCAGTTTCCCAGCTTTGTCAGTTTTCCAGGTGTGGTGTTGCATACCTGTAACCCCAGGTCCTGGGGTGCTGAGGCAGGAGAGTAACAAATTTGTTTTTTTTTTTTTTTTTAATTTTATTTATTTATTTGAGAGAGAGAGAGAGAGAGAGAGAGAGAGAGAGAGAGAGAGAGAGGCCAGCTCAGCCCACCAGGGGGCAGGGCTGGCTGGCATGTGGTGCTGGGGGATTGAACCGCGGTCCCTGATGCTTTTGCTAAGCTTGTTCTAAGTAGGTGCCCTAGACCACTGAGCCATCTCTCCAGCCCCGAGAGTAACAAATTTGAAGCCAGTCCAGACTACCTGCTGAGCTCAAAGCCAGTGTGGACTACACAGGTAGACCCAATCTCAAAAATAGTTTGTAAATTGGTACTGATGATGACTCTAATACGTGTGCACTATGCTTTTTAGTTTTGCAATGTTTCAGACCCCCGAAAATTTGCAAAATAGTATGAAGAATGAATGGAAGGTCTGTGTACCCTTTATGTGGAGTCAGAATTAGCAATATTAGACCATTTTCACTTTGCTTTATTATTTTGTCTTTATATAAAATCATTTTATTTTAGTTTTACTCCTAAAGCTTAGGTGTAGATTTCTTTACAGAGAGAGGTTTCTTTTTCACATTACAGTCTTTGACTCAAGCAGAGGTAATTAATGTTGCTGCAGTACAATCAATTTTTTATTTTTGGCAGTACTGGGGATGGAACCCAGGCCTTGAACTTCTTAGGCAAACTCTCCCACGGAGCTACATTCCTAGTTCTTTTTAAAATTTTACAGAGGGGGGCTGGGGAGATGGCTCAGTAGAATAAGTGCTTCCCTGGCAAGCACAAGGGCCTGAGTTCAATCCCCAGTTCTGCAAAAAAAAAAAAAAAA